TATATATATATAATAAAACAGGTTAAAAAAGTTTGTTAAAACCAGCACAAATCCTTTTATCAATTTGTTATTTAATTAATCAACCTTCTTATATGAGATTTAAAAAAACAAAGCAGCCCTTGCCATCCTTTCTTTTAATTGAATTTCCACATTTTCACATTTTACATATTTTTCCCCTGCATAGAGTAATAAAAAATTTTAAATATAAAATTTAATAATAGTAAAAAAAAATTAACATAAAAATTTAATATAAAATAAAAAGAATTTTGAGTTTTTGGTGATAATATGTAGAAATCGGAAACAACACTTTCAAGTTGAGAGATCGCAGCGCAAGTTAAGTTGTAGCGTTCTGCGCAGTGACGTCATTTGGAACACATTCCTGATTTAAAACATCAACACTTAGATGTCGAATTGATGTAAGATTGATTAGTGCTGTTTTCCTTCCTTCGTTATAAATAGGTATGTATTTATTAAGCATCTGATTAAACATCATCTATGTATTTCTTAAACATCTGATCTATTATCTGATGATTATGTATTTTACTGTCTTAGCACTGAATATTTAAGTAGAAATTGTTTTATTACTTAACTATTACCAATTTTTGAACTTTAATGTTTACTTTAAGCCTGGATCTCTCAACACTAAAATTCATACTAATAAAAAAGTATATTTTAGTTTATTTAGATAGTTCGATTATAATTGTATTTCATTTTATTTTAACAATAAGTAGTCAGTACATCGACTCACCTGTATATTTATAGTTCGAATGTCCTATGCTGCTAAATAATAACTTTTACTGTTTTAAACATTTTCAGTGTAATATGAAACTGTAATTTGGATATTTTAATCTAAAAATGGGATTTTTTTTTCAATATAAATTTTAGAATTTATAATATTATACTTTATGTGCCCTATATTTGAAATCTAATTGGTCTTCAAAATTAATCGGTTGGTTGAGTAAGAAAATTTAAAAAAACGTTTATTTAAATTGCTCTTTTTTCGAACAATATCGTTGAAATTGTGTATTTTGTCATCTAAAATTACAAAATTAAAAATAAGTATAAATTTGTATACCTTACAATTCAGAAGTTTTTCTATTATTAACGAATTGAATAATAACTGATAATAGTCATGAAAAAATTATTTTTAGCCTTATAAACTAGTTTTATAATTGAATGAAAAAAGGTTCTGATTAGCTTAAATTATTCTAGAGATATGACGAAATATGTTAAATGAAAACTAAAATTACGGAGTGTAAACTTTAAAGCACTCTTCTGACTCGGCTATTGGAACCAGATTTTCCAGATTCCGACTAACTTATATTTTTTGAGGGTATGTAAAAATAACAATTCAATGGAAAAACGCATGCTTAGTCAAAGGAAGTACTTTTCTGTATCCGATTTCCTAACTTAAACTATCACCTTAACACATTAATCAGTATTATTAAGGTACGAACCATCAAGAAATCTGAAAATTAGATCAAAAGTTATAATATTATTCCTTCTCGTTCGCCGCGCATCATAAGTGAGATACTTTAAAAATAAAAATTACGATTCAGTAACAGATAAAAAGCAGATTTAAATTTATATAACAAAGCTGGATATTTTATTTTTCCCTGCACGGCAGATTTTAAAATCCCTTGCAACTTTAAAATCGGGCATTCTCATATTTCCAGATTGCTGTTCCATTTCCATTTTATACGCATGAGGGTATATAAAAATAAAAATAATTCTTGAAAATGTATGTTTATTCAGACGAAGTACTTTTTGTGTCTAATTTCATAGCATAAACTATCGTCTGCATAAATTATTCATCTATTATAACTGTCGTTGAACAGCCAACCCAATTTTTGAGTTCACGACTACTAATTTTAAACTCCGTATTGAATTTTGAAACCAATTCAGAAGACAAGGGAACTGATGGATCAAGTATCGGGAGAAATTTGTCTTCGTTGGGGACTTTTTAATGGAACTAACCAGTATTTGCGTTACATAAAGACGAAAACCACGAAACCTTTCCACGGCTAACCTAATGGCAAGGGGACTCTAACCCTTGATTTGTCTACCACTGAGAATATTTTACGTCAGCACTTCGGTTGGTGCGAGCCGGGTGCGGAATTCGTATCGTCCAACCATTGCTGGGATTCGAGCCCGGTTCATCTCGTTGGAAGGCGAATGCTCTATCCCCTAAGCCACCACGGCTTCCATTAAGAAATAGTGGAAAATTAAGCTACTCTAAACCTATTGTTAACAGTATTAGATTTCTAATTTTAGCCATTTATATATCTCGCTTAGTCACATTTTTATGATTTGAACATCATGTTCGAAATTACAAAATGAGACTACATATTTATCATAATATTTTAGGATTATCAGAAATGCGTTGCCTTTTTTTTTAGAAACTGATTGATATAAAAAAGATTTAACCAGGAATTTTATTTTTTATTTTTTTCAAAGAATATTAAAACCAAATGCAAGGGGACTCTAACCCATGATCCACTGAGGAAATTTTACATCAGCATGACGGTCGCTGTAAGCCGGATGCGGAATTCGTATCGACTAGCCATAGCTGTGATTTGAACCCAGTTCACCTCGTTGGAAGGCCAACGCTCTATCCCTTTATCCATCACAGCTCGCACAAATTAATTAGTACATTTAAGATTCGAATAATTAAGATTTCAAATCAGTACGAGAGAATCAAATCCGAAAGTTAAATCATATTATTATTATTCCTTTTCGCGCTTCGCACAACAAAATCTTTACTACGATCCAGCAGCAGGCATAAAGTAGATTTAAATTTTAATAAAACTGGATATTTTGTTTTTCATGAATGGCTGAATCCAAAATCCCTTACTTCCCTTAAAAGAGCCAGGGATTAAAATATTGCCTTACACTGATTATTCATACACAGTTTAATTTAAATTATACTTTATCATTCATTTATTACAACAAACTTAAAACTCGACTGAATCTTCCCCGCATTCTAAACTTCAGTTATTTTTAAACTGACTGTCGGAACTATTGTTTCGAACATCTCCTTTTAATTAATCTCCGCGTCAACCGAACGAAGCTCTAATTTACAAAATTTCCGATATGCTGCAGTTAACTCTTTTTAGTTCAACAATTAATTTAATTAGTCTTGTTTGGGACCTGGATAATTTGTTTCGTTTTTAATTTCCTTATAATTAGATTTTGAATTGCTTGCATCTACTCCTTGTATCATTATAGGATCTGACAGCAGTGTCTTTTGAAGAGTCATTTTTAATTAATATCACTTCTTTGATTAATGTTGTTTACATTAAGTTAAAGGATGATATAGAAACCTCGCTCTTGAGTTTTTACCGAGGCAATGATGAAAATGTTTTACAATTTTTACTTACAATAAAAGTTAAAAATAAATACTTTTAAAATTGTTCTTTAAGTCATAATTCACTTCGACAATGGATTTAAATTCCTTATATTCAACACATGCATCTATTCTATTGTTTTCACTACGTTTTTAATTATTAACATTCGAGGTTTCAATGGAATCTTGGAGTTATTTTTTTTTCTCTCCAATTTCCGTCCAGCTAGAATTTCTGGCTTTTTCTAAGCTCTAAGCTCATTGATAATGCAGGTTTAAAACTTTTTCTGATCTAGATAAGCAGAATTCATCGTCGAATTGAATTTATCGTCAATCACAATTCAAATCATTTTAAGATTATTTAGAACAGTGGTTACCAACTGGCTGCCCGCGAAGACTTTTTTGTCACCCGCAAACTAAAATATATTAGTTGTCTTTTTTTTTGCGGACAATTTTCGTAGAAATCTATATGGGCTTAAAGTACTTTTCTTCGTTAAAAAAAAAACCTAATTTCTTTGTTTCTGGAAAATTTAACCTACCAACTTTGCAAGAAATTTTTTTTCTCAGGTAAAAATCTACTTCGCATTTTAATTTGTAATTCAATACTTTTGTTTTGTACAACTTGATAAAAATCTGACAGTAATATTTAATGTTTCAAACATAAAAGAGCCCTATATAAAATTTTGATAAAGTTACGGCCTGCCATTTGAGTAGTGCTTTTAATTGCGGCCCCCGACCTCATGGAAGTTGGAAACCTGTGATTTCGAAGCAGCGGGCAGTGCTCCTCATCCTTTTTATCATTGTGAACCGGTGAACGTTTCATAATTTTACCGTGGCCTACCGAGGGAGGAGGCAAACGTTGGTTGGTTATATTTTAGATGGTTTTGATTTAATTCAATTTAATTTGTATTTAAACATTCCTTCAGAGCATGCTATGCCATGTGCTGTTATGGTGCGGCTTCAGATGACGTATCACACCTCCCAGTTAACATCTAGCATCTCGTTCATAGGAAGTCGCACATATCCAAGAAAAATACACCACAAAAATAAAATGGAGATAATTTAATGTTACCATTGCCAGATACCATTTGATTCACAGACCGGCCTGCGGTCCAGCTGTTGGGAACCACTGATATAGAGCACTAAAGTTCTAATTGAAGCTCTGTGATGATTGGTACCATATATCAATCGTTTTCTGATCGTTAAAAAACAGAATTTCTCAATATTTCATCTCCAAATAGATAAAATATCAATAAATACTGTTTAATTCTAAATCAGAATTCCGATTTATTTGGATTCTGATTAAATTCTGATTTGAAATATTGATGAACGCTGAAGATAATAACGATCTATTTCCAACAAGATAAAAGATTTAAGTTGTAATTTTGCCTCTGTGCTTAACAATAAAGTTACAACAGTTTCCTGATAGTTATAAGTAGAGTTTATGGTTATATCTCTACGTAGAATGAGTTTTAAAAAGATTCTACTGAATAGGTTAATATTAAAACATAGTATCATGAGTATAAATTTTTCACCGTTATTATTTCAACTTGCGAAATTTTTGTTTAAATCTAGAAATAAATTAGCTTTTAGAATTAATTTTCTGTCATTAACAATAAATTTTCTTTCTCATTGTAAATTAATTTCCAATTTTTTAATATGGTTTAATTTGCATTGTAATTTATCACAAATGATTGAATTTATTAATAAAATGTAATTTTGTATTCTTAAGATATAAAAAAAAATTATTATTTTAAGTTTCGGATTTTGTAACTTTCAGCTTTATTCACCTTTATTACAATTTTTCTTAAATGGTTCAAAAGTTGTACAGATTATTACAAAAGAAGAATCACTTGTTCAGTTTTCTACACTTTAAGTAACATTTAATGTGTTTATTATTGCCCACCCCAAAGCTAAACAGATCAGATTTCAACTGGAGTTCTGTGTCTAATAAAAATAATACAAATTTCATTGATTTCCTGACCATTGCAAAACGAATTCGTTAACATATTATCGCCAAACAGAATTAAACACTATTGAAATTTCGACTACTTTATGTCTAGCTGAATCTCTCAAACTGGATCTCTGTGCCTGACCAATGCAAGTCACAATAATT